AATTTAAAACTAAAAAGATGAAAATAAAATTATAGTTTAAAAACTGGTTTTTATTACAATGTGAACTAAAATGTAAAAAATAAATAATAGAAATACAGATTTCGTTTAAGAGGAATCGGAAGTTCCCTAACTTGATTTAATTAAACTTTTAAAACCAACCTAAAATAGGGTTTAAGTATTTGACAATAAAATTAATTTTACCGGAAAACAAAGCGTGGGGTGTTTCTTAGATTTTATAGTCCTGCTATTGACAATACTCAATATTACTAAATTGAAAATCGAAAGTTCAAAACAATTGATATCAAGCACCCCAGGTTTTGTTTTCTAGTAAAATTAATTTGATTGGCAATCACTTTAATCCTGTGTTAGGTTTGTTTTTTAAGTTTAATTAAATAAGGTTAGGGAACTTCTTATTCTTCTTAAACGAAATCTGTGTTTCTCTAAATTATTTTTTACTTTTTGTTTCACATTGTAATAAAAGCGACTTTTTAGTTTTTTAAACTATAATTTAATTTATTTTCAATTCAAATAATATAGAAAATTCTAAAATGCGCGGTTATGTTTTGAATTGATGCATTTTGGAAAAGTGTTTATGGCTTAACGGCTATATATGGGATAGCTCTCTTCCAAATACTGACATGAGCATGGGAAAAATTTACTGTAGTTTCCTCATTTTACCACTCGGTTTTTGTTGACAACGGCGAATAAAGCATTGAGATGCCGACTTTCGTTCTCCATCGATGATATATGCAAGTAATAGACGAGAATTATTGGTTAGTAGCCGGATAGCGTAGTTATTTCGTTGCTCTTAGATATCACGCTTATTAAAAAAAAATTAGCAACGCGGGCAAAAACAGGTGCACATATTATATACGAGAACATACATAGATCACATATGTACTATACATACATCGTTTTGTAGAAATATATTTAAAATCATACTATTTATCTAAAGCTGCGAATGCCAGCGATTAGATCAGGTTGAAAAGATAGACGGAGTAAGGAGGGCTACAAATTTGCTAGTTCGCCAAATAGTCCAGCCGCAAAATACTGTTCACAAAAGTTATACAACCAAAATCATCACCAGCCATGCATCGGAACAAAAAAGGCTGGAATACAGATAGACGATTAGAAAGTGTTGATGTTTAAATGATAAGAATAGAAAGCATTGATGAGCCTCAAACAAATTGTGTCGTAAACATTACCGAATTAAATTCAATGCTCTAATATTTTTCCTAGCCATTTTTTTATAATTTAACCATAATAAATAGTAAGTATGCCAATATTTTCGCGTCGAATAACAGCAGTATAATTTTACATTGTGCCCTCACCTCGATTCTATAGTTTTCAGTAACCACAAACAGTTGGTTGTTTTGTAAATCGCAATCCCCAATGCTGCGCATTGGCTCGTATTTATTTATCAAACACGCGGACTCATCTAAAACCTGTAAGGGAAATTTTCTGGATGAATACAGTGTTCGATATTTGTCTACATACTTTACGTACCCAAAATACACAGCTTACAAAAACTATCAATATGCGTCCAGCCGCCAAACGAAAGCAGCGCTTAATTTTTCCATATTTCAATATAAATGGTTTTTGTTGGCCAGTACTAAGATCTGTGAAAATGACTAGCTCATTATTGCTACCTGCAACAAGCGTGTATTCGTCTAAAAGCTGTAAAAACTCGATCGGTTGATTCTCAAAGGCCGAAGTGAATAGAGGTGTAGAAGTAGTCAAATCAAATAGCATGCCATTTACGCAGCCAACTATCGCTTGCTTGCCACTTTGCGTAAGCGCAGTGATGGGGTAGGGTAAACGCGGAAATACTTTGTGACCATCATTATCGATTTTATGTATCTATAAATAAAATGAAAATATAATTGAATTATATATTAAGCCGGTGAAAATGTTTTAGTATCATTATTTACCTGATTCTGTGAATCCACAGCCAATAGTGTCGCCTCATCATACTCATATTGCACTGCAAATAATTTGTCACCCTTCAACCAAGCATCGGGCGCCATGTGGAAGTCTATCGCGTCACTATACCGATCACGCTCTCCCAATCGAGAAACTGTGGCACGATGTGACCAACCGAGAAGCGTACCACCACTATCATCCACCCGTAATGCAAATAAATTCAAGAGCTTACGCTCATGTGAACCGCATGCCACCATATATTTGTACTTGGCATTTTCCAGCGGATGTACATCAACACACGTGATCTGTTCGTTAACATTTGTAGTGAGCACTCTTGTACGCATTTCAATGTCGAAGATAATCAGTCCACTATTTGTGCCCAAAACGAGTTGTTTACGTCCATTGATAAACAACAATTTAGCACATTTTATAACATTCCCCTGATCGTAAGCAGTCAAGTCATCTTGATGAAGCAGATATTCCACATGTCCCGTTTGAAGTATTGAACTGCTTGTAAAACGAACAATGCAAGTGTTGCAAACTAGAAGTGTCTCATTCCGCGATAGCTCGATGGCTTCGATGAAGTTGGTGAATGGTTCAAGACCACGTTGTTGCGAATAATCTGTGACATCGAAAATACGTACTTCCCCTTTTGTATTGCCAACTACATAGAATCGACGAAAGATGAGGCGCACAATAGTTATAGCTCGCATTTCAGTTTTCAAAGACGGTGTCGATGTAGAGCAAAATGTTTTACTTTCGCTCTTCCACTGAATGTTGCTGATTTCACCATTCATATGCGCCATATATAAATAGGGTTGTTTATCATTTCCTTCATTAGAAAGTTCAAATGCGGTAATCGGTTTGAAAAGGTAGGCTCGAGGAGTGACGTTACAACATTCAATTTCTTTGGCTTGCGGGCGTGCAAAAGAATCAGACTGTAAAGAGAAAAAGTAAAGAAAGTGATATATGTATGCATTTATATTGATAAAAATTCGGATAAGGTGAAGTAATATTTTGTGCACGCACCCTTCGCCGGTCCGTACTGCAATCACACGGTATACACCAAAATTTCATATCACCATTACTGTATAAGGCTAGTACAATGTCGTAGTTATTGTCAGTAAAAAAGAGAGCATCAACTACGGTTGTTTTAACTAACACCGGATCCTTTAATTTGACTGAATATGAGTTCCAATTCAGCGATGTGTTGACCAGCAGTATAGTCTTACTTTCCTCCAGTACAATCAAAGAGCGTTCATGATCAAGTAGTATAACTTTCTTTGGAGTACTGGGCAGAGAAATAATATTGTGTCGTTGGTGGAAGAAACCGCTGCGCATATAGATCAGAACCAAAAAAGTCAACATCATGATAAACTTTAGTTTTAACCGATAACCACTTACCGGTGTTCAAACCATGTGTAATCTGGAAAAGCAGCCGCTTGTGTAAGCGCTTCAGCACCCACCAAACCGCTCTCCATGAGCGCGCATTGTAAGAGTGTAGCATTCTTCGACTCTTGCAATGTCTTTTCGATGTTGGGTAAAAATTCACGTATGGCACGAAATGCTTTACGACGCTCCGAATTAGGGGCTGTAAACGAGAGCAAAAGCGTTTTGGCGGGTTAGTGAGTTGAGTACTATTTACGTATCTCCCGAAAACTATTTTACATACCAATGTAATGCCGAAACGTTTCCAAATCGGCGATTGTGCTTAGCAAGTCGACGTTACGCATTTTTTGCTCTAGAAAACCATAATCCAAATAGATTTGCCGAAAGTAGTGCGTCAATCCAGACTTTTTGAGATGATAACCGATGCAGAGAAAAAAGTAGAAATCATGAACGTCACGTTGGAAAGGCAACACTTCTTTGCGAGCATCTAAATCCTCAACGAAACTGCAAAGAAAAAAATAAGCTGAGTGAAGGTAAATTAAATTTAAAATTCAAATATTTAACATACTGATAGTATTCAAGCAGTTTCTTATGCATATCTACTATTTCTTCGTCTGTTACTACATATCTTTCCTTCATTTTACCATAAATAAATGGTAGCTTAAAGAAGTCACCTGTTTCTAAAATGCACTTTTCTAGAAAACCATGACGATGTAACTTGATCAAATCTTTTTCACAACTGCTCCCAGGCCACAGGGCCACAATTACCTAAAATGTGGGAAAACACAGTTTAATGTTACATATTGCATGTTATAATAGAAAATAATTCTTACCCTTTTTGGCACAAAAATGGCATGCGGGAAGCAACGAAATACCTCAGAAAATGCCTTTCTTAAATCCGGCTCTAAGCTCTCGAGGCTCTTTTCTATCGCGGCATTGAATTTCTCATCAACAAGGCTGCATAAAATGGAAAAATGTTTAAAATAACAATGCATTTGCAATATTACAGAATCATAAATTGTATTGTTAAGCTTTGTTACTATTATCGCTCCTTCTACTCACTCCGATTCTCGCAACTTATCGATCCAACTCTGCCAATTGTTCAAGTTTTGGCGCAAACTCTGCGCAATTAAACTGAGCAAATATGGATGCCCATTGCTATGTGCATATATCAAATCTACATGGCTTTCTTTGAAATTCTGATGTTCCAAATACTTTTCAAAGAGCAGATAAAGTTCTTCGCGTGTAAAACCACGATTCACATTTAATGTGGTGCTTCGCTTTTTTGCAAACGAATCGCTAACTTTTTTACTACGCGTGATAACGAGTAATTTACATGGCAAGTCGAAAGCTTTTAGCGCATGCGTATTCTGTACGTTCACCAAAATGACAAGACACTTCTTATCCAAATGCTTTTTCAGCTCAACGCATACTTCAGCTATCGAATTTTTATAAACCTGCGTATTATTGTTAACTCGATCCAACGAACCATAACTAGCCGGTGAAGGTGAACGCGTCGATTGTGTAAGTAATAATTTTAAATAACGCAACATACGTAGATCTTCCAGCGAGCTTGTACATTGACTCATATCGACCCAGTGAATTTGGAAATTCATAGCGTTTGCGACATCAAAATCGGAGCAAGCATCGATTGCCAGCCACTTCTTGCCACAACCGAAGTCACTAACCAGCACCACACGGCCGGCAGGTGGCATGTCTAGCAGTGCGTTGCGTAATTTTCGGAACTAAGAAAGGTGTCATAACATATAATTATGCGAAGTATTTTTTTTATTCAAAACTCTCTTACCGGCACTGAGCGATGCACATTGTAGTCATCGAATTTCAGATGGACCTTAGAGTGTAAAGAATGTACTAAATCTACATAACGGCTATAGTCGACTTTGTTCACATTCTCAAAATGGTTCACAAGCCAAGAATAGTCGAGCAGCAAAGCATCCATAAATTTAGTTATTTGTGAGGGATCCTTATGTCGCAATACGGCAAATAGGCGTAAAACCTGCTCCTCGCGATGTGCATCTTGAATTTCATGTTGACAACTTTGCTCATCTTGATAAACGCCCTACAGTGGAAGGAGTTTAATTACAATTTTTTTATCAATAGTTTCTTGGACGCTTACTGCCTCTATATATCTTTTTTCATATTCATTAAATATGTCACGAATATACATCTGCACATCCCTTAAATCGAAATCTTTTATAAAATATCCTTTAACAACGTCTAGAGCATGGTGGCTGCTCAATGCCTCTACTTCGCTAGAATTGGTGCTCGGCGAGGTCATAGTGGCTGAAAAAGAAAAAAATGCATAATATTTTAAATAATATAATTAAAAATCATCGATTTACATTTTACTAAAGCAAGTACAAAAGAATGCTAAAATGTGTAAAGTCTCTAATCAGTCGAAAGGAGTACGTATGTATGTATGTTGGTAAATGCTATAGCATTTAATAATTCCAAACCGTTTTAAATAAATTTTGATTAAAAAATACAAAAATACCAATTAAGCTAAAATAAAAAATGCCTACAAGTTTGTCTGTCCACTCTTTGCAGTGTAAGCGATGTGTTGTTGTTTTCCAATGGCAGTGAATTGGGCGGCTGCAGCAGCTCGTTATCCGCCATTCTTGAGTTGCAATTACCGTCGGAATTGGATTGTGATTCCCTGGAATCGTTTCTTGATTGAAGTACTATATTTGCCATCATCTCAAAAAATTTGGTTCCACACGAGAACATTTTCAAAAAAATCTATAGAAATTAGTATTCTGTGAATTAGTAAGTTGCATAATAAATTTGTGTATGTAAATGCATATGCCAAGAAGATGAGGATGCAGTCATATACATATGTATGTACATACGTAGGTATGTAGGTATGTATGTCTTTTTAAAGAAGCCTTTGAATAACACTCTAACGCACAAGGATTTCTCAGGATCTTTATTGAAAGTAATCTTTATACTAGTTAATGTTGAGAACCCTTCAGTAGGATGTATGTATGTATTGCATATATTTTACAACTAAAACTTGAAGAATTAACTATGAAAAAATTGCAGCGTTATATTGATTAAATGGACAGTGGTCAAGGAGGACAAGTGAAAAACATACAAACATTTAAAGATTAGCCAATACTATCCACAAGTAGCACGCTATAGTACGCCGTATTTCACAAACAGAAACTCGTCATTTTACAATGTTTTAAGTAGCAGCCAGGTTCAATTAGAAATATTTCTTAAGGAAAACGTATGTAAATGTTTGAAGTCATGTGTATGCATATTAAACCAAACCTATACATCCCTATGTTATTCGACATGCTGAATGCGAATCCGAGGTCCGTTAGACTCCACCACGTCAGGTTCGTGGTCATTTGAAGGTCAAGTAGGGAAAAATTCATTGAATAAACCTGAAAAATCAATAAAATTCATCGGAATTTGACCTTGGGATGACCTTAGCATGATCTCCAGATGACCTTGAGGAATCAACGGACCTCCATACTCGGTTTCAGTGACAACAAAAACAATTTTTTTTTTTTTTAATTTTCTTGAATAAATTTTGTCCTATTTGACCTTCAAATGACCTCGAAGCTGACATTATGGTGGTTAACGGACCTCTGATTCGGGTTCAGGGAATGTAAGACCTTATGTATATGAATTTTCAGGTTTATTCAATGAATGAATAACATAGGGATATATAGGTTTGGTTTAATATGCATACACTTTTTTTTTGTAAACCTATGTGATTAATTGTATAACTAGCGATTTTCCCTACCAACCCTCAGCTTATTAAGAATTTGTTAGCTTTGAATATCTAAATAATTACATATATGTTTAATTTCCTTAATTCTTCAAATAATACCAACAAAACCCCTAATTAGCTCGTCTCTCTTATCCACTGGTAAATGAGTAAATGAATACGCACAAAAAATATTTTCAATTAACCTTAAGTACTGACTGTAATCATATTTTTAATTGTTCATCACAAAAAGAGGATAAAGTGTGAACGTTAACAAAAATTCCAACACATTTGAGGACGGCCAATTAGATCTACATTCCGTTACCTGAAATGCAAAAAAGACGTAACAACATCGCAATTGAAATGGAAAAAGTCGTGACTTATATACGTAATTTTTTTTCATAAAATGATGTGGAGTTGTAATTCGATAAAATCCATCATATACATACATAATGTGACCAACTATTTCATAGCTCAAAGAAGTACAGGTTAGGTTGTGTTAAGTTAACGTCGCGAGCCGATTCGATCCCTGCGAGCTCAGTGTTTGTTCAGAAGTGCGAGACAAAATGCTTCCATCTTAGCCTCGCGAAGGTTGGACATTTTAAAAGAAAGTGTGGAGATGATTCCACTTCATTTACCTCTTGATAGCTGATAAAAAAGGATCAGCTGAAATTCCCAGTCTCCCCGAATGAATACCAATCGCACAATTGCCTGTCAGAACCTCCCTCACTAGCCCTTGAGAGGTAACGTGTTTTAAAGTGGCCTATAAAAATATTTGCTGCAGCAGAGAAACGTCTTCTTTTCCTTTTTTATGTCACAAAAGAACCCGGTTTTCCTTAGCCCAATAGCAGTTCGTGCTGCGACAATTCTGTCTGCAATATCCGCAGGCGCCGTGTTCGACATATGAATGTTAAGCGCCAGTATAGGTGTGGTTCCTAATGATCCACTAATTCCTATTTTACAAGTGTAGCTTTCTCTAGTGAGTTCCACCAGACAAGGGCTCCTTGAAACAATATAGGCTTAAATCTGGTTTCCTAGAGCTATTGAATTAATTTGGGCAAGAGGCCTCACCTTTTACCGATAGCTGCCCTACAGTAGTACCAGGCAACCGACACCTTTCTTACCCTTTCCCCAAGGTTAGGCTCCCACGACAGCCGCCGCTGATCGCCCACCTAGTTATGTGGTTCAGGTAACCTTGAGCCAGATCAAAAAGGGTGTCTAGAAAACGTCTCCTAAACAAAAGTTGCACATCATCAACATAGGCGATCACCCGACAGCCCACTTTTTCCAGTTTCTCTAGAAGGTCGTTTACAACCGCAATCCAGAGCAGGGGAGAGAGAACACCACCTTGTGGAGTGCTCGTATTGTAGGGCTGCCATAATCCTGAACCCATCGACCCCATCCAAGTAAAAAACGAAGAAAAGTGCGATAGCGATCCGAAAATTGTCGCCAACTAGTTACAAATTCTCCCTCCTGAAGTACAAAGTAACGCAAAGAAGTACATTTGACTGTACTTCGAAGTACGAAGTAGAAGAGCGAAAAAAGAAGTACTGTACTTCCGAAAGAAGTACGGTTGGTCATATTATACATACATATGTATGTACATCAAAAGGTGAAATTTTAATTTTTTATTATTTATGACTTTTTGTATTTCAGCGATGACGCTTTTTACTCTTTTTTTGCATTTCAGGTGACGATATGTATGTATTTCTATTTTCTACGACATGCACCAGCGCACAGGGTTGTTTTGCCTGTAAATTACTAAACGTTAAATTGAAACAACCTGTAACATATCGACCCCTAATTGCAATTTTATCGTTAGCGACATATTATCGAAATCAATTTTTTTGTTGCAAATAGGTTTAAAATACTATTTAGTTCCAACGTCCTACAAAATCACAGACTTTGAATATTTACCGTTGCAAAAAGCAAAATGAATTTGATCGTTTGCTTTGTTTACACTTTTGAGTTCCTACAATTTAATCGTAAGCGACACTGTACGATACTTTAGTGTAAATAGCAGTTTGATCTGTAATTTTAACTAAATTTAACAAATTCAGCTTATTTCGCTTATCAAAATTAAGTGCAATCTGCCATTATACAATTACAGCTGCAAATAACCAAGTGCAACGTGGCTCGTCTAGCGGAGCCTTTTTTGAATCTCTTGTTTTGCCAATAGGTTATACGATTTAAAACCGTGGTACACACGAGTGTCTCCGGGAGCTACTCGGATTTAACATACAAGTCGTGTGTGTGCAGCTAGCGAACTGTTGCGACGCTAGCAGCGAATTAGTTGCGCCTTTGCTAGTGTACGCATACTAAAAGCTTAAACAGACGGCAGCGTTGATCCGGACTTAATCCGGATCAACTGTAGTTAATTCCCGAGTTGATCCGGATCAACGCAGCCGTCTGTTTATGCTTTAAGACAAAAATATTGCGCTGGTATTGGTAGCTCTGTCGACGCTGTGCACTACTGATTTAAAAGCATATCAGAAAGATGAAAAACAGACACCTAACGGGACTTATATTATATATGTATGCATTGGTATAGAAAAAATTTCAAACGATACATTAAATTAGTTCTGAATCTCCTTACCGAACAAGTTCCATTACCTTTATAGGTCCCGCTTTCTTACTACAGCAAAAACAATCATTTTCTTTTCTTAAATCAATGTCAAATGCTCCAAACCGCGAAGTGTGATTCGAAAGCGAATTAAGATCTTGCCTTTTATCAAGCAATACTTGATTCGGCTTTTTAATTACATTTTTTTTAAATTGCATAAAGTTTTCAAACCTATAAGCAGAAAATGAATCCAAAGGACCCAAACTTTTAACGCATTCAAGCAAGTGAAGTAAGCCATGAATGTTGAAACTAACTAATTCTTCTCCAAATATCCTACTGAACTCTGCGACAAAGTGTTCCAGCATTTTTTGAGCAATATCGGCCTCCGACCTGAACGATTTTTCACTTGAAAGAAGGCGAATACTACTATGCAAAAGCAAGAAAAGGTAGTACAACTCTCTACTTACGCAATCCTTCAAAATAAAAACGCCTGTGTATAGCAAAAACTGCCTGAACTCCGTTGTTTTCCAATGACTAACTTCAACCAAGCTGCTTGAAATTCGACAGAATTCTGATGGAAAAACCTGGAAACGAAACGAATATTTGCATTCATCTTTATGGTATTTGCATTTTTGATGAACAGCTTAAGACATTTTTTGACGACACCTAAATCAACCAAATGCATAGAGTCAAGAGGAAACTGAGAAACCATTCCAAAGCCAGCGTCTTCTAACACGCTTTTCTGATGCCTAAATTGAACAAGGTGGTGAGAAGCGTAAACTCTTTGCTCAGAAGATGAATCCGACCTAAGTTCACCAATTTCTTTGGGAAAACATAATATTCTCTCTTTATATTTGCCTTCGAGGCAACATTTAGGGCATCCGCTTTTTCCATTAAATGACATAACGCCACAAGCAAACGCCCTAGCCGGAGAATCACAAATGAACACCCGAACATCAAACTTTAATACGATATCATTGTGACCCACTTTGATACCATTTTCCCTAAGGTATTTTGCTTCTGATGAAAAATTTGCCATGAAATCATTGATATCTTCAGGTTTCTACAGGTGTTACACTACGAAAATCTACAAGTGCCCCAGGATAGGCCATAAAACTCGATTAGAACTATTAAATAGTTTGACACCATCGACACCTACATCAATTAAGACTTCTTCTCGCGCCTCTAAAAATCCGAATACATCTGAAATAAAATTATCTTGAATACGTAAGTATAGAAATTCGCCATTTGGAATGGACTGAATATTAATTTTTTCCCGAGACTTTTAGCGGACAAAGGCAAGTCATTCATTCCAACTTTTCAAAGGGTTTTAAGTAAATCGTCAAGGGCGCTTTGAGAAATTTTATTTCTAATCGCCCAAGACTTCAATCCCTAATTCGCATTCAACTGCTCGAAATTTTCATTCGGCACTTCACTGCTAGAAAAGGATCACTTTCA